GAGATGTATAAAGGAAAAATACCATCGTTTATATTTCGATAACTTTTAATACTTTTTCAAACCTCGTTCAGTTATGAATGATTGATAAATGACTTGGCGGAAGAGAATTCTGATATGTACGATAGAAATTGAGAGGAATTCATAAACGGCAAAGTCGGTTTAACGTTTTTAACCCCACCTAAACCTACCAAACATTGACTAAATTCAACGAATTAACTGGTATTTTAACCGACACTGGACATGATGATTTCTTTGAAGCTACCCCCTCTGAAGATTAAATTCCGACATCCTCTGAGTTAGCCAAAGGGCTATCTACTAACGTTCCAGCCTCGAGCAGAATTCCAACCGTTATGTGAAAAATATGAATTCCGAATGTCCATTATAAAAGCTTAAATGAAATTCATTTTGTTCCTTCCACTGAAGGAAAGATAAGTAAGTAAAACCTTTACTTAAGTGTCAATGTGTTTAGCCCAGATGGACTAATTGGGAGAGACGGATTTTTGTCAACCTACTTTTGAAGCGGCGCCATCCGATGAAATTATATATTTCGGTTTTGTACGTCTAACTTTTTTACCGATGACGGATGTAAGCATGCAAAAATGAAACAATTCCCTTTGGTCCCAGGTAACATCCGGTCTCAGTATACATTGTTTTGAAAGAACCGTTGGATTTTTAACCCAAAATTACAATCGAGACTTGTTACGGTACTGAATTGGAGCATCTGTCCTGAAACGGTAAGTTAACTATCTCTTCATGAGCCGTTCATTTTCCAATTACTACGATTTGCGTCATCGAAGACAAAGTTGATGAATAATAGGAACGCCTGGGTTGATAAGTGCTGTACCCTTTATAAACAACACATTGCTATCTTTGTTTATCTATTAAGGGTGTAAATCTAAATATGACGGAATATTTTAACAATCATACGATGTAATGGTCGAGAGGATCTCGTTCCATGTAAGTGAGAAATGACACCTGAGGGGGAAGGGAAAGGTGAATAACGAACCTGGACAAAAATAGGGATTTTCCTAAGAATGAACAACATCGGTCATCTATTTGAGTTCAAATATTCTCTTTATATTCGGGCAAGCGATTTAAATTTGAAAAGCAGTGCACCGAGCGATTAACCGAATTAACAAAAGTTGAAATTCTATTTCTCCTGATATTCTCGGGCCTTGTCATGTTGACCAACTTATCTTTTTGCATGGCGTAAAGAAACAATACTTATTTACTTTACGGTCATTTCATTTGCAGTCTATGTAAGGGAACAAAATTGGCCCCCTCAAACTACACCCCATCAATTTTTGAGCGAAATTTGGGCGATTGCCTATTCAGTGAAAAACAATTGACTCGAAAGAGAGACTTCGCCTGATGGGTATAAATTTTCTTGATGATTCTTGGCTTTAAGTCGATTCAGTCCGTTTACTTTCAGTTTGATGGCGTGACAAGAGACAAAAAAAATAATTTTGATAAATTCCCGATTTTTTAACATGGATTTGTTTTCTACTAACGCACCAACCTCGCGCAGAATTCCAACCGTTATGTGAAAACTATGAATTCCGAGTGTCCATTGCAAAAGCTTAAATGAAATTCATTATGTTCCTTCCAATGAAGGACAGGTAAGGAGAGACAGATATTTGTTATTCTACTTTCAAAGCGGTGCCATCCAATACACGTAAATGTATTTCGGTTTTGTACGTCTAACTTTTTTACCGATGACGGATGTGAGCATGCAAAAATGAAACAATTCACTTGCGGGAAACATCCGGTCTCAGTGTACATTGTTTTGAAAGAACCATTGAATTGTTAACCCAGAAATACAATCAAGACTTGTTACAGTACTGAATTGGAGCTTCTGTCTTGAAACGGTAAGCTATTTAGGCGTGATGACTATCTATTCATGAGCTGTTCATTTTCCAGTTACTGCGATTTGCGTCATCGAAAACAAAGTTGGTAAATAAGAGGAACGGCTGGGTTGATAAGTGTTGTGCCCTTAAAAGACAACACATTGCTCTCTCCGTTTATCTTTTAAGGGTGTTAATCTAAATATGACGGAAATATTGTAACAATCACGTGATGTTATGATCGAGAGGATGTCGTTTGGCTTCATGTGAGTGATGATCAACAAATGATACCTTTTTTAGGGAGGGGAGGGAAAGGTGAATAATGAACCGTACCCACTCTTACGAAGAGGAATTTTCCTAAGAATGTACAACATCGATCATCTATTTGAGTTCAAATATTCTCTTTATTCAGGCAAGCGATTTAAACTTGAAAAGTAGAGCACCGAGCGATTAGCCGAATTATCAAAAGTTGAAATTCTATTTCTCCTGATATTCTCTGGCCTTGTCATCTTGTTTTAGTGAATGGAACAAAGTTCATAGGTTTCCGAAGCTTGTTGCTTTTCAAGAATTTGGGAATTCTTTTCAAATTCTTGAAAAGCCTTTGTCTTGAGTGGGTCGAGTTTTTTCCAGAGATTCTTTTCCTGAATCTCATCGGAACTTCCTTCAAAGAACGAGTGATTTTCTTCCTCTGATGTCAGGTACTCCTGATTACTCAGAATTTGCCGGAAGTTTCACTAATATTAATAGATAATTAGGGTAGGTATATTTTTTCAACGGGGGAGGGGGCGGAGAGGAGTTTCATAGCAACATCTTACAAGGATTTATGAGCAACCATGATGTTTCATTATCGTTACTGCTGGGGGAGCTGCTTACAGGCAACCGAAGATCTTCTTGGTTATCCTCCTGAGTAGTCTGAATAGGTGAAGCTGTTGTTACCAATTTTTGATAACCTGAAGGCAAAATGGCAACTGTGATCTAAGATATTTAACAAAAACAGAAACCGGAACTTAGAACCTATCACATAGTATTTTAAGAAATTGGGTTTTTTATTCTAAAGTGATCCGTGATGCACAGGCCGTTAATTAATACGAATACAAAAGAACTGGAAACGATATGAAAATTAAACTTGTCTTTAACACTCTAACACTCAATGTAAGACTGCGCCGGGCGATATCCTTAGTTTCGCTTGACGCTATAAAATCCAAAATTAAAAATATTATTGCACACAAGAGTATTAACGTTTTACCCCGAGAGGAAAAAACCTGTGAAAAGTGAAACTTTTCGCCAGTCATAAACATGACCTCCAATGCTATTCCTAACTATTAAAATGGCTGGCTGAGGAAGATATCATGAATGTATATATATAAATGTTGGTATCGAGTGATTGCTTGTCTCCTGAGTCGTGAAATAATTATTTGCCAGAACGCAACGGGTAACTTATCATTTTCATGGCGAAAGGAAACAATATTTATTGGCTTTACGGCCATTACATTTGCAGTCTATGAAAGGGAACAAAATTGGTCCCCTCAAACTACACCCTATAAATTTTTGTTCGAAATTTTGGGCGATTACCTATTCAGTGGAAAATAATTGACTCCGAAAGAAAGACTTAGCCAGATTGGCTGAGACTTTCCCTACGTTTCTTGGCTTTCAGCCTGTTTACTTTCAGTTTCAGGGTGTGACAAGAAACCAAAAAGAATAATTTTAATAAATTGCCGCAATTCACTGTAGATTTTTTTCTTCTTTTTCCTAGGAAAAAGTTGACCTGCCTCGGAAGATCTTATACAAGTCCCTTTGCCTTCATCAAAATGAATAAGGAACGTTTCTAACTTCAAAAGGTAATTTGCATCAATACTGACTGTTTTAGAAATCGAAACAACACTAGTATCGTTATGAAAGCTTTTAAGAAAAAAAATTCTCACAAGAATAACAACATTAACAACATATAGAGACCTCACTGCTCCCCCATCTTGGAAAAGAACCTATGATGACTTCTTCCATTGACTGAGACATATAAAGGAAAAGAGATCATTGTTTATATTTCGATACCTTATAATACTTTTCCTAAAACATCGAAAAAAAATGCACTTTTTCAAGGATCTATAAAAATGCAAGATTATTAAATAAAGTGCATATCGATTATGTGCGGAAAATTGTAACAAACACTCCATAGAGTACAGGACCTTCAAACAGAGGTAGCTAATATGGAACATTCTCCGAACACATGCAAAACCTGTGAGTCATAATATATATAGAGGAAGAAGATCAAAGAAAACCTACGCTCTGATTTAATTTCTAGAAACGCGAGCTTGTTGCAAGGAAATGCTACAATTATTATGATATGGGCTGGGCAGTTTAGAATTGGCAGTAAGCTGTATGATGCAACACCAGCTGCCTTGAGAGTCCAGTAAATCGGTTTGGTTAAGAGCCCTGCTCCTTCTTACAGAATTGAATTGAGTTACTGTAAACTAAATATGAATCAGCAAATCAAATGAAACTTGTTATGTTTTGTTAGCCAATTAAATTTTCCAGTTGGTCTCTGATCTGCGTGATTCGCGTGACAGTGTAAGGAACACCCCAGTAGAAAAGACGGCAAAGGTGTGTTCCTCTTTGATGGACAATGTTAAAAAAATCCATCTACGAAAAAAGAGGCTAGAGTCAAAACTCCGTAGAAAATATGTATAAAATTTGTTAAATGAACCACAACATTTGGCTAAAATAAAATCTCCGAGACTTCTTAAAATTCAAAACAAAGGGTTAGAGAAATTGCGCGAACGAAAGATCAAAAACAATAAACTAAACTCCGTTAAGACAAGCAACAAAGGTACGCGAAAAATGTCCACGTCAGTTTTCCAATGTCAAGGTTAGAGTTCTTAGATGTGATTTGCTAATTTGAAATCACGTGCGCCGCGCGTAAATACAGAAAGACTACAAGGCGGAGAGGGGAAGATAAAAGTTGCAATTTGAAATTTAAAACAAAAAAAGATTTTCCACAAACAATCAAGTATAAGTTTTTACTAATTTCTTCTTTTTTTTTCAAACTGAGAAGAAAAAGGGTCAAGATGGACAGCGTAAAAGAAGCTATATCAGTTATCACCATAGGTAAAGTGGTCGCCGAATTCCTTCACAAAACCGATCGCGTGTTGCAAGCCATCGAGGTATACAAGGAATGTTTAACTATATTACACAGTCAGGTGCTGGCTATCGATAGTTCATTGGCAAACGCTATGTTCCGTGTCGTCTACCGGAATATAATCTGTGCTTACGTTTATATAAAGGATTACACAAGTACAGAAAAATATCTCAGGAAACTCCTCCTATACCTAGACTCTAATAACACCGCTGAAAAAGGATGGCTACATTTTAAACTGGCAGAAATACTTCAGCATCAAAATAGGTTAATGGAAGCCTGGAAACTTTACGAATCAGCAATCAACCTCATGAAAACGATAGGAAACACTCAAGGCCAAGCACGATGTAACGAAAACCTCGGAACAATGTTCCAATCACTTGGTCATTATGACAAGGCCCGAGAATATCAGGAGAAAGCACTCACTATCAGAATAGAAATTGGCGACAGGGATGGAGAAGCAAGATGCTACAGAAACCTAGGAACTTTGTTCCAATTACTTGGTCATTATGAAAAGGCCCGAGAATATAAGGAGAAAGCACTCGCTATCAAAATAAAAATTGGCGACAGGGATGGAGAAGCAAAGAGCTATGGAAACCTAGCAGTTTTGTTCCAATCACTTGGTCATTATGACAAGGCCCGAGAGTTTCAGGAGAAAGCACTCGCTATCACAATAGAAATTGGCGACAGGAATGGAGAAGCAACGAACTACGGGACCCTAGGAGCATTGTTCCAATCACTTGGTCATTATGAAAAGGCCCGAGAATATCAGGAGAAAGCACTCGCTATCAAAATAAAAATTGGCGACAGGAATGGAGAAGCAACAAGCTACGGACACCTAGGAGTATTGTTCCAATCACTTGGTCATTATGACAAGGCCCGAGAATATCAGGAGAAAGCACTCGCTATCACAATAGAAATTGGCGACAGGGATGGAGAAGCAACATGCTACGGAAACCTAGGAACTTTGTGCCGATCACTTGGTCGGTATGACAAGGCCCAAGAATACCAGGAGAAAGCACTCGCTCTCGCAACAGAAATTGGCGACAGGGATGGAGAAGCAACAAGCTACGGAAACCTAGGAGCTTTGTTCCAATCACTTGGTCATTATAACAAGGCCCGAGAATATCATGAGAAAGCACTCGCTATCAAAATAGAAATTGGCAATAGGAATGGAGAAGCAACAAGCTACGGAAACCTAGGAGTTTTGTTCGAATCACTTGGCTATTATGACAAGGCCCGAGAATATCAGGAGAAAGCACTCACTATCAGAATAGAAATTGGCGACAGGGATGGAGAAGCAACAAGCTACGGAAACCTAGGAGCTTTGTTCCAATCACTTGGTCATTATGACAAGGCCCGAGAATATCAGGATAAAGCACTCGCTATCAGAATAGAAATTGGCGACAGGAATGGAGAAGCAATAAGTTACGGAAACCTAGGAGCATTGTTCCAATCACTTGGTCATTCTGTCAAGGCCCGAGAATATCAGGAGAAAGCACTCGCTATCACAAAAGAAATTGGCGACAGGGACGGAGAAGCAACAAGCTACGGAAACCTAGGAGTTTTGTTCCGATCACTTGGTCATTATGACAAGGCCCGAGAATACCATGACAAAGCACTCGCTATCAGAATAGAAATTGGCGATAGTAATGGAGAAGCAACAAGCTACGGAAACCTAGGAGCATTGTTCCAATCACTTGGTTATTCTGACAAGGCCCGAGAATATCATGAGAAATCACTCGCTATCAAAATAGAAACTGGTGACAGGAATGGAGAAGCAACAAGCTACGGAAACCTAGGAGCCTTGCTCCAATCACTTGGTTATTATGACAAGGCACGAGAATATCAGGAGAAAGCACTCACTATCATAACAGAAATTGGCGATAGGGATATAGAAGCAACAATCTACAGAAACCTAGGAGCTTTGTTCCGATCACTTGGTCGTTATGACAAAGCTCGAGAATATCAGGAGAAAGGACTCGCTATCACAATAGAAATTGGCGATAGGAATGGAGAAGCAAAGAGCTACGGAAACCTGGGAGCTTTGTTCCAATCACTTGGTCATTATGACAAGGCCCGAGAATATCAGGAG